CATTTCAACATCCAAGCAATGCGGCAAGCTGGTGGTTGAAGTTGGTGACTTACATTCGGTGAGCCTTCTTCCAGCAGAGTGGACCAACTCGCAACCCATTTCTTCGTTGTGGGTCCGTGATCACTAGCGACAATGAAGTTGCGACTTGAGATGGGCTAGTCAGATTGCAACTACCGAAGGCATGTCCAACAAGTGGGGAGGATTTTGCAAAGATGAGATACCAGCCTTGTCAGCCTGCCGTTTCAGCTTTGTTGACAGCAGAGGATGCCCGGAGTAAGGAGTGAGAAAATGCGCGGGACTCTGAAGCCACAAGACTGCTACTGTGGATGGGAAATCCTGCACCACCTAAGAATCCCTGGAATGATAGTTTCCCTGTAAATACCAGCAACAATGGTTTCTCATGGTTTCAAAGTGGTGCGAAACGGATTTCGTCCATCCACAGTATGTTCATCAAATTTGGGTATCGGTCAAAATTGAACCACGAGGGGACCGCAGGTTTTAGTCTTTGGTTCCATTTACCAGGTTCGATTTTTAGTACCTATTTTTGACCCACAGCCATATCTTCATCAAATTTGGTCCAACTTGATCTCTTGCTCATTCGATTCGGGCGCAGACTTGGAGCATGCTGAAAAAAGTGGCCACTTGTCTGGCAAACTACCCTAGGAACACGGCTCACATTCCGCTGTGAATCAAAACAGGATTTCAGGAGCGCAAGTCAAGAATAACACGTGTTTTCCTATGGGAAATCCCAGTAAACCGAAGCCTTAAGTGATTTCTGTGCGTTTCACACGTCCACCCAAAGCGGGGTTACTGTTTTCGTTGGTTTTTCCCAATCAAAACAACGGTTTTGTTCCTCGTGAACCACTTTCAAACCGGCACGATGGACTGAATTTTCCCAATCAAACACCGACCGCGTTCCTTGTCACAGCAAAGCCTCCAAGGCATGCATAAACTTGCTAGGGCTTTGAGCGCCTAGCGTCTGCCGCCAGTTCCACTGGAAAACCTGCTGCTTCACTGCAGGGTGGAACTGGCTAGACCCGTCAATCTTAAGCTTGGCACACACCCTCGGCGGTAGCCAAGTCTTAAGAGACCTCCAAGTTCTATCCAAAACCTGAGTGCCCGCAACAGCACTAAGCATAATCGAGCCAGGCTTCACTTGCTTCGTGAACGTCTTAGTTTGGTGTGTCACCCGGTGGTGCTCGAGCCCTATTGCCAAGCACGCGTGGCGCCAGTTTGCATTGCCGTCCGCGTAGACCGCAGAGCCACGCGTGGAGATCTGGGTCAGGAGTCCAGACTGGTCCACCTGACAGGAGGCAACACACATCACGCGCGCCATGTGGCTTAAACAGACAGCTTAACGGAACGCCAGCACTGTTGGGAAGAACACAGCTGAACTTCGGGATCTGGCCTGCGCCCTCGTTTCCGTGATCGGTCGCTGCCCACACAAGTCACCACTGGCCGTGGCAGATGGACAACTGGAGCTCCCCCACGAGGCTGTGCCCCAAGAAGCATCACGTGCACCACAAAACTTTTAGGAGTCTTCTGGTTTCGTGCGATCGTTTTTTGTTCAGCTCATATATCTGGTCCGCAAAGTGAGCATATGTAGAAGCGCGTCAAAAAGGTCCCATCGACTTCCACATTTCCTGCGGCGACAGAACAGAAAATATCGAGAGCTTCAAACTTGAAACGCAAAAAACAAAGGCGCCCCGGAGCAAACTCAGGCCGTTTACTAGATTGCATGAAAGCAGACCAGTCCTCTCATGCGAGCATCACTGCACCACCGAAGGCCTGCCTCACCCCGCATGCTTGGATGACGTCTGTCGCCCGAAAAGCATGCGTCAGGTCCGCTCTGACATAGTGCATCAAAAGGCGCGCCAACAGGAGGCTGCTGCGTCGCATTTCGCGGAAGATTGTGGGCTGCATGAGGCCTTCTCTCTTCCCGCAGCCCAAGCAGCGCCAGTGCAGCGCGTCCTGCGCAGGGAAGACTAGGTCCGAGAATCTGGCGCCTCCACAGCCGCTGCACTCATCTGGCTGCGTGGCCCAGCGGCGGTCTAGAAGCCACGCAGCAGCTGCCTTCTCGCTGTCGGGAATCTGAAGATTAGCATCGTGGCAGAGTCGGCGACGAACTTCTGCCGGACTGGGCTTTCGCGCCGCGGGCTTTTTCATGTAGGCCTGGCTGGCCTTTTTCTTGTGGTCTCCGCTTTGCTTTGGCGACTTTCGTGTCTTGATCTCTTTGCGTAGGACCTTCTTCATGGCTGGCTTGGTCTTCTTGAGAGCGTCCAACTCCGTCCTCAAGGCTTTGATCGTTGCTGCAGCCGGATGCGGGCATGACTCTATTCTGTGACTTGAGCTCCGACAGACACTGCGCTTGTAAGACTGCTTGCTCTGACCCCGCTGGCGGGTGGGTCGCCTCACGGGGCAGCGTGGCCCTCCAAGGGACTTCTCACACTGCAGTCTACATGCCGAGTCGACGCTTGATCTTCCTGAGACCTACTGTGGCAGCAGAAAAGTCATCATCCCCAAAAAGGGGGAACTATATACGCCCAAAAATATTTAGAACGCGGGAAACCACCAAGCTTGTCGGACCTCAGACATGTGCAGCCGTGGTCAAAGCGAGAGACCGTCATCATCCCAAAAACGGGGACCCTCAAAAAAGGGGGAGCTATATACGCCCAAAAATATTTAGAACGCGGGAAACCACCAAGCTCGTCGGACCTCAGACATGTGCAGCCGTGGTCAAAGCGAGAGACCGTCATCATCCAAAAAACGGGGACCCTTAAAAAGGGGTAACTATATATACATATATATATATATATGTATGAGCGCGGGAAACCGCCAAGCTTGTCGGACCTCAGACATGCGCAGCCGTGGTCAAAGCGAGACCGTCATCATCCCAAAAACGGGGACCCAAAAAAAGGGGAAACTATATACGCCCAAAAAAGAACGCGGGAAACCGCCAACTCGGAATCAGAACGCGTCGCAACGCGTCACTTTTACTTCATTTGATGAAGGCCTGCCTAAACATCTGGATCGTTGTCCAACCTATGGGAGATGTGCGCACTGCGTGCAAGCAAGTCAGCAACTGCTCCAACTGCGCTCGCAGTTCCTCCACACGCGCAGTGAAAGCTTGAACCGTGGGTTACAGCAAGCGTCGAAGTGCAGCATTGACTCCTCCAAGTGCTGAAGGGCTCCATAGAGGTGGGTGGGCACGTGAACGGTGGCCACCAAGTCACAGACCATGCCATCTCGTGGCAGCCCGTGAGGAGTGCGAGGCAACATTGCTGCAAACCAATGGGCGCAACAGGATCTCAAACTGCTCAGCCGGAGTGCCAGATGCAAGGTGCGTGCTTGACGAGCAAATGATCCAATTCAAACCAAGCAGAAGAGAGAATGCGCAACTTGCTCACACGCTTGACGCGATCTGACTGGAAACAAATGCTACTGCCTGTACTGAAAACTGTTCGAGCGGTCAAGCCCGAAAGAAGGACGTCCCTCACTATCATTGGCGAAGCGCATCTGCTGCCGTGGCTGAAAAGAAGCAGTGGGGCTGGCGGCAGCCATGCCCCCTGCGCTCGCGACTTGGCAGCCGGCCGTGCAGCAACTTGCGGCCGACCTATCAAAGAGCTTGCCAAAGAGGACTGCTGAGGTTGACTTGCCGAATCAGCCGGTAGCACCTGCTGCTCAACGGTGGCCGCCTGCTGGAGTCAAAAGCTTGCCCTAGCTAAAGCAATGCTCTCCTGCCAAGCGGCGGCCTGACCCATTCTGTCATAGATCCACAGTGTCTCGAGCTCCCTCTGAGCGAGGGCCACCAAAGCTTCCTTGACCTTTGCCTCGTGAGTGGATTGGACAAAGCCTATCTAGGCGACACAACAGTACACACAAGACAACGCCCAAACATGATCTGGTCTGCGAGAAGCGATGCGCAAACCTCGATAACGGGATTCAGACCCTCCAGGGTCCTTGGCGCACAACAACGTGTGAGAAAACAATGCCCCGAAACAATGGAGTATCCACAGCAGGTTGTTTGAAAGACCCGAAATCAACCAATATGAAACGCTCACGAGTAGCAACTCTGCACGAGGTCGCCCACGTGGAGGCGTGCGATCTCTTGGCAAATCAGTCATGTCAACAAGAGCCCCATAGGCAGCTCGAGCAGAAACGTGACGTGCGTAAGTCCGATACTGTGCTTGTGAGACTGCGCCCAATCTGCGAAACGCAGGCTGCGCCATCCAAAGTGAGCAAAAAAGAGGCCCGGGTGGCTGACAGAAAGCCGCCAACGTAAACCGGCGTGAAGATATAAGCGGCCAAAAGAAACAACCGCCAACATTCCACGGCGTCAAATGACATTGCCCAAGCACCTGCCGCAGGCAGACGGCGAAGTGCTCCTGCAGGTAGCGGTCGATGCGCCCATCGAAGAAGGTACCTCCAGCGCGGCCGGAAAGCCGGCGGCTAGTTAAAGAAACGCTGGGTGCGGTGATCGGGTGTTCTTACAACGTGGCTGGCATGGGTACAGTGCTGAGCGGGTGCGCGTGAGCGGGCGTGTGGCTGGCATGGGTACAGTGCTGAGCGGGTGCGCGTGAGCGGGTGTTCTTACCATGTGGCTGGCATGGGTACAGTGCTGAGCGGGTGCGCGTGAGCGGGTGTTCTTAGCATGTGGCTGGCATGGGTACAGTGCTGAGCGGGCGCGCGTGAGCGGGTGTGCAGTGCTGCGCGGGTGCGCGCGAGCGGGCGTGCTTACCATCTGGCCGGCATGGGCATCAGTGTTTGCAGCTGCCCGAAGGGTAAAAACACACGCAAGTGCAGTTTGATCCACGGCGGAATATAAGCCGTGGACCAACTACCCCCTACTCCAAATACCCTCTTTTTTAAGGGTATCATGTCGACCCTCTACAAAAAATGTATTTCCATGGTAGGGGGTACTCTGTTGCTTGGGCCCAAATCCGCAAGTTTGAGCTCAGTTGTTCAGTGGCACAAACTCTTTTTCCCCTTTTTGTTTGCAGGTCTCGGTGTTCCAGCAGCTGGCGAGTCAGCTGCTGCCGGAAGATGGCAAGGCAGAGGCACGATGACGCAACGGCGCCTACCCCATTTTTGGTGCAGTTGAGGGACACCAAAGGAAAGCTGAAGCCGTTTTTGGGGGCCCGTCAAAATAGACACTCCCACTTCTTTCAGACCTTGAAGTACTGGCTCCCTTGCTTTGTGTTAAAGTTTATCAGTCTGTCTCGGATCATGAACCGCTCTTGCCGTGGGTCGCTGGCTGCATGCACATTCTTTTGGATGAAAGCAGACTGATGCAGGATTGCGCCCACGAAGCGACCAATGTTTTTGCTTGAGTTGGGAGATTCGAATGCCTGATAGATCTAGCACATTTCGAGGCTGAGCTTTCAATTCTTTGTCCGTCACAGACACATGTGCGCCAGACTGCTTGTACTATACCTGTTCGAACACCGGACGGGACTGCAACACAGGCCAGCAGCTCAGACACTGCTCAGTCGCGCGAATTTTGAGGGCTCATCAATATCCAGGGTTCTTGCTGCGTTATCAGAGCTTGGATTGATTTTCCATGACACTCGGAATCCACCAGCAGACTTATGTGCTTGCCGATGTCCGAAACTCGCTCTTTGATGAGACAGCGGGCTCATACTCTCAGCTCTCGATGCTCAAGATGTCTGGCAAAGCCAAACTTGTCCATGAAACTGGAGCTTTCTTGCTTCCTGGGATTTTCGGAAGCGATGGGTTGCTCGAACAGGCTCAATCAGTCCGCTGGTCAGCTCCGCAGGTTCAGCTTGAGATACGAAGGGAGATCCTCAAGGCCGGCACTGGAAGAGATGCGAGTCAGGGCCCCCCCAAAACTCTGAACGCTGACCGCTCGATTCTTGAGGGTCAGAGATAGATTGCGGAAGGCCGAATTCGTGTCTTGCGCGCCTTGTTATTGGTTTATCCCCAGTCAACATGGCCATTTCTTTTGCTGGGTGCAGACAAGACCCGGCTTGGAGCAGGGTTGCCATCCCGGGAATATTCTGCGCTTGGTGCTTGAGATCAGCAGTTCAAGTAATGCTTCGCCCTGGAACACCCGCGCATCTATGCACCAATTGCTGTGTCAGGATCCCACGGGAACATGTGTCCACGCATGCAGCAATCAGGCAAGGCATTTTCAATTGGGGAACCACCTCAAAAGTGCTTGGTGGACAAATTCATCCAACATGATGTCCACCAGTCTTTTTTGTGCGGGAGATGTGGGTGCTTCGTTTTGGTTTTCCTTTGAAACCCATCCGACAGGTCTCCGATTCTCCCCCCCCTCCCCCGCCAGGGTCGGCCCAAGTCCGTGCAGCACGTGGCCTCAGCTTCTGAAAATCGGTCGGTACCGTTCGAGGCGAAGGCGGGCCGGTCCCCGTTTTGTTTTGGGGAAACCAAGAAGGAGCCCAAGAGCATATAAATCAGATATGATACAAGTTTCGACTAAATCAACAGAAATGTATAGTTCACAATTATAGTCATATCTAAAAGAAAGAAATGCATAGGTACAGGCCCAGCTCTGGCGCAAGTTTGTTCTTCCGGGGTTGATTCCTTCAGATGGATGCCGGTATGGCACTTTGTCGGAGCGAGACACCAACAATTATCAGAGCAGCAATACAAAGCAGCAGGCGTGGAATCGCCACAGGAGAGTTTGCACTTTGTCTCGTTCTGAGAATCGCTTGACTCATCTGATTCCATTTTGGATTGCTGGGTACTGTACATGCCCATTCTGGTCCACAGTGAGATTCGGTTTGTCAAACTGCCCACATTTTGCACGCCACAGTTTCAGATGTCAACTTTTCAGTTCACTTGTTACGTGTTCTGCAACCGAATGCAGCTCGGACTTGGCCTTTCTGCAACAGCGTGGCTTGCTCCGAGGGGCATTCCGGAATACTTGGAGACCCACAAGGTCCAGCAGCGCATCCAGAATCTTATACAGGTCGGTGGGAAGTTTTATATGGTCGTTTTCGCAGACGATGTTGCGTTTGGTTTTCGAGCTGGCTTGGCTGCCGCTTAAGGCATACAGAAACAAGGACAGCTGCAAAGCTGTTCAACGCAGCATACTACACAGCACCGTTGCCCGACTTGCAAACCGTAAGCATGTAACTCTTGGGGATGATCAATGGGAAGACAACAACCGGAGAGGCGCACATTGTTCATGCAAGCCAGATTTTGTTGACTTGCCAGGATGTGCTGCGCGAGGCTCCGGACGATCCATACAGGTACCTTTTCTGAAAAGTCGGATCTGAAAGTCGAGTGTGTGATCCATTGTGATCCATTGTTGGCCTGGGATGAAAGACAAACTTGTTTGCCTTGGCCATTGCTGAGTGCAGAGTGCAAGTGGCCAGTTTTCCGAATCCTTCGCTCCTTCTCACACTTTTTGCTTGCCTAATCTCGGAGCAACGAGTTTTCAGAACTTTTCGCTGCTTGCCTCTTGGTCTACCTTTGGGCCCCGTGCCGGCCTGCCCTAGGTTCATGCTGCGTGAACTGAAGAAGATCCAGGCCAACGGGCAGGGAGGGGCCAGAAAAATCGCAGGAAAGCCAGCCAATTCACCCATTGCTCCGATACAAGCTCGTGCTTGACTTTGAAAGAAAGGGGCTGCGTGCAACACACGACCATGTGTTTGGCACTGCAGATTCCAGGGTGATCATTGCAGATTCTTTTGGGATCGACGGGACACTGCGAAGACTCAAGCCAAACCCAGAGATTGAAGCTTGAGCAACCAGGCAGTTGGGTGGTACATCTTCACCATGGCTTCTTTTCTGTTTTTGTTTGGGGAATCCGTTCGCAGAACATGACAAAACTGACTCATGGCCTTGAACAACGACTTGGAGACTTTACCTGGAACGCTGTTCCCAACTTTTCCTGGTTTGCTTGACATGACTCTCGACAAAGCCTCTGCCTCGATCGTCCTCCAGCGCACGGCCTCGAGAAAGAGCCCGCTGCAGGGCGTTTAGACTGCCATGGAGTTTCGACCAGTGGTGGAGCTGTGATTTTTAGAAATGATAGGGTGTGTGTAGAATTCACGGAGTTCATGAGAAAAAAAACATGGTGGCCATATGTCGCTTGCGGGGACCAACGGGGGCAACCGGGCATCTGGGCATCTCCGATTGTAGGCTGCTTCGCCCAAGAAGGCGGTGAAGGCTGGTGAGTTAGTAAGTCCCAACAAAAAAGACACATCCACATAATTCCAAAGACGCAGGATCACGATGGTTTGAAGAATTGTCCTTTGATGTGGGTGTAGGTTGTGTGTTAGAGCATCTAGCAAGAGCGCTTGGCATGCAGCCACTCCAGTTGCATTTTGCACTTTTTTCGCAATCCCCGGCGGCAGGAGCACACACACACACAACCAACAGGCAACTAACAACACTCATGTATAGATATTTTGGTCCTAAAGCATTCTGAGTGATGCCTATCCGTCGTGCAAGACAAGCTTCTGCTCAGCGCAGCCGCAAATTCAACGCATTTCTCGGGCGGACCAACTTGGCCGTTAGGAGCCCCTGGTACCGCACCCGCCTGACAAGCCGAAGCCCACAGGAGCTGAAGCGGGATGTGCGTTTTTGTTGCGACCAGGGCAATCGAAATAGGAATCAACGAGCCTTTGGCAATTTGATGCTTCTTTTAAGAAGGTGTCCTGGCAGGCAAGTTGTGAATCTTTGTCAGGCACATGGAACATTTGTTGGCCGGAGGGACATGTGCGCCGAGGATGAAAGAGGTGCAGCGCCTACATAAGCATCATGAGTTTGGGGCAACTGCTCATGTAACATAGGGTGCCTTCCTCAGCAAGAGCCACCTATGTTTCAAACCAATCTGAACGGCGTCGGGGATCTGGATGGAGTTTCAAAGCAGACTTTTCCGGAGTTCAGTTCCCATGTCCAAAACATTTTGCTTCGCTCCCTGAGGATCACGACCTCTTCCAGGCGGGGAGTGGGCGAGTAATTACAACTTAGAGAGGGTTGTAACCACGACAAAGAACATGTTACAACGACAAAGAACATCGTTACACCGACAAGTTTCAGTGAAGACTATCCCGACAAGGTAAGAATGTTAATAGAAAGGAATAAGAAGGAATGAGAAGGTCAAAAGAAAGGAATACTACTACCACTACTTCTACTACTACTACTACTACTACTACTACTACTGCCAATACTATTACTACTACTACTACTACTACTACTACTACGACTACCACTACTAATGCTACTACTACTTCTACTACTACTACTACTACTTCTACTACTACTACTACCACTACTACTACTAGTGCTACTTCTACTACTACTACTACTAATACTACTACTACTACTTCTACTAGTACTACTACTACTACTACTACTTCTACTACTACTACTACTACGACTACTACTACTACTACTACTAATACTACTACTACGACTACTACTACTACTGCTACTATTAACTACTACTATCACAACAACAACAACAATAAGAACTACTACTACTAGTACTATGACAAGTACGACTACTACTACTACTACTACTACTGCTACTACTACTACTACTACTACTACTAGTACTACTACTACTACTACTACTACTACTACTACTGCTACTACTACTACTACTACTACTACTACTACTAACTCCTACTATCGCAACAACTACGGTCAATAGCAAAACATGAGAAGGTCAATAGAAAGGAATAAGAAGGAATGAGAAGGTCACTGGAAAGGAATGAGAAGGAATGAGAAGGTCAATAAAAAGGAATGAGAAGGTCAATAGAAAGGAGTGAGAAGGTCAATAGAAAGGAATAAGATAGAAAGGAATAAGAAGGCCAATAGAAAGGAAAAAGAAGGTGAATAGAAAGGAATAAGAAGGTCATTAGAAAGGAATGAGAAGGTCAATAGAAAGGAATACGAAGGAATGAGAAGGTCAATAGAAAGGAAAAAGAAGGAGTGAGAAGGTCAATAGAAAGGAATAAGAAGGAGTGAGAAGGTCAATAGAAAGGAATAAGAAGGAATAAGAAAGTCAATAGAAAGGAATAGGAAGAAATGAGAAGGTCATTAGAAAGGAATAAGAAGGAATGAGAAGGTCAATAGCAAGGAATAAGAAGGAATGAGAAGGTCAATAGCAAGGAATACGAAGGAATGAGAAGGTCAATAGAAAGGAATAAGAAGGAATAAGAAGGACAGTAGAAGGGAATAAGAAGGTCAATAGAAAGGAATAAGAAGGAATAAGAAGGACAATAGAAAGGAATAAGAAGGTCAATAGAAAGGAATAAGAAGGAATACGAAGGACAATAGAAAGGAATAAAAAGGAATAAGAAGGACAATAGAAAGGAAAAAGAAGGAATAAGAAGGTCAATAGAAAGGAATAGGAAGGAATGAGAAGGTCAATAGAAAGGAATAAGAAGGAATGAGAAGGTCAATGGAAAGGAAGAAGGTCAATAGAAAGGAATGAGAAGGTCAATAGAAAAAATATGACATATTTTCCACGCATGTGACAAGGTAAGCCTTCATGCTGCTATGCAGCATGCACGGATATGGACCCCATGGATTAAGATTACCTTGGCCGCATGCAAGTATTTCGCTGCTGCGCTGCGTGATTCACGCGATGGCATCAGCATACAAGAAGTCACACGCACAACAGCACACTCGTAGCAGCACTGCGCAACAGAGTGTCTTGGGTTGTGCCATGGGCAGGGCTAATGGGAATCGCAAACAGTATCGGTTCATTTTTGTATGCTTCACCAAAATCGTTGACAAATCGGGGACCGTGAGCAGACCGTGAATTTTGCGTGAACGACGGAGTACCCGTGAAAGACGGAGTTTACCCGTGAAAAAACGTGAATTTCCACCCCCTAATCCAAATGCCACAGCCTGCTGGTTCAGTTTACATGGCTACAAAGCCGTTTGCCCAGCTATGTGGCTCGGACTAGATCCTTGGGCCTGCAAAATTTGGCCGCAATGTTTCCACAAAATTCCTTTCTATTCACCTTCTTATTCCTTCTTATTCCTTTCTATTCACCTTCTCATTCCTTCATATTCCTTTCTATTGACCTTCTCTTATTCCTTTGTATTGACCTTCTTATTCCTTCTTATTCCTTTCTATTGTCCTTCTTCTTCCTTCTTATTCATTTCTATTGACCTTCATATTCCTTCTTATTCTATTCTTTTGTCCTTCTTGTTCCTTTCTATTCCTTTCTATTGTTCCTTTCTATTGACCCCTTTTTCCTTTCTATTGTTCTCTTATTCCTTCTTCCTTTCTATTGATCTTCTTATTCCTTCTTATTCCTTTCTTTTGTCCTTCGTATTCCTTCTTATTCCTTCTTATTCCTTTCTATTGGCCTTCTTATTCCTTCTTATTCCTTTCTATTGACCTTCTTATTCCTTTTTATTCCTTTCTATTGTCCTTCTTATTCCTTCTTATTCCTTTCTTTTGACCTTCTCATTTCTTTCTATTGACATTCTTATTGTTTTCTTCCTTTCATTCCTTCTTATTCAATTCTAGTGACCTTCCTATTTTTTTTGATTCCTTTCATTTCTTTTTATTCTTTTTTATTCGTTTCTATTGAGTTTCATATTCCTTCATATTCCTTGCTATTGACATTCTTATTTCTTTGTATTGTCCTTCTTATTCCTTCTTATTCCTTTCTATTGACATTCTTATTCCTTTTCCTTCCTTTCTATTGACCTTCTTCTTCCTTTCTATTGACATTCTCATTGCTTCTCATTCCTTTCCATCGACTTTCTCATTCCTTCTTATTCCTTTCTATTGACCTTCTCATTCCTTTTAATTTGTTTCTTTTGACCTTCTCATTCCTTCTTATTCCTTTCTATTCACCTTCTCATTCCTTCTTATTCCTTTCTATTGACCTTCTTATTCCTTCTTATTCCTTTCTATTGACCTTGTTATTCATTTCTATTTCCTTGCTTGTCGGGATAAGCCCGCAAGAAACATATCGCTGTAACGCTGTTTTTCTGCCGTGGTAACATTGCACCTTGTCATGGTGGTGACAAAATCGCGTTTTTTGTCGTGGTTACAACCTCCCCTCAATTACAACTCCGGCGCCTCGGGGCGCCTCAAACCTGAGCGCCAAGCCCTTCCTTTGTCTGAATCAGTGGTCATGCTTGCTGGCGTTGGCGTTCTCTTGAGACTACATGGGTGTGGGTCAAAAGTAAACCACTAGGAATTGGACCGCAGGTTTTAGCAGCCACATGTGGCTCAACAAGTGGAATCTCGTTCGACGGGAACTGAACACCACGACTCAAAGCTGCGGCAGACTTGAGGCCGCGCTGCCCCGCCCGTCCCCGTTGCACCCAAGGCGCTCTCGCGAGTTTTCGCATTGCCCCCCAACAGACGTCACTGGCTGGGGCGTTGGCGATGTGAGTCACCAGACAGTTTTTTTCTTTAAGGAACCAAACGTTTCTTCCAGTTTACAGCAGCAGGCATTTCTCAGGTCCAAGTCATTGCTGAGTATGCCTATAATGAGAATAGCCATGCCTACTTCATTCCTCTAGTATCAACCCTTGCAGAGATGTGAATGTATGAGTATTATTCGACAACATGTATTTGTGACTCTCGCCCATTCTGTTTTCTGGCAGGTGCAGATTGACAAGTCGGAGCACCTCTCAGCTGGAGCATGTGGGTATGGGTCAAAACTAAACCACCTAGTGGCCGCAGGCTTTAGTCCATGTTTCCACTTACCAGGGTTCCATGTTGGGTATATATTTTTGACCCACAGCCATGTCGTTGTGCTGCTTTTGGCTTACACCCTGACTCGAGTTCTAAGGATTGGCGGCCCAGCAGGCACGTGCTGCGCCAAGGCGGAAGAGTCCGAGAGCTTTTGCTCGTTTTTTTTTTTTTTTTTTTTTTTTTCCCCTTCCCGCATTGAGGTCTTGTTTTTTTTTTCTTCTTTTTTTTGATGGGGGGTTTCTTTCTTTTTTTTCCCGTCGTTTTTTTTTTTTTTGGTTGTTGTGTTTTTTTAATAAATAAATAAAACAATTAAAACTTGTTTCTCCCCCAGCCGCCTTTGGGTGTGGACCTTTTTTGTTATTCTCCGTTGTTCTTTCAAGAAGTTGAATCTTCTCGTGTTCGCAGCAGACCTGTCGGAAGGCCTTCAATCTCGAAACGGAACTCGTTTTATGTCCGACCCATTCTTTCCGGAGATCCTGAGAAACCCAGCGGTTTAACGTTCATCTCTTGATATGTTTTTGCGCGCCAGTGCTGGAGAGTCCAAGATGCCGGGAAGTTGGAGAGCAGTCCATCGTCCAAGGCGTTTGCAGCAAGCTCAGAGAGTTGTTGCCAACCTTTTATCCTGGAAGCTCCGTTCTTGTCATCTACAGCATCCAATAGATTGTTTTGGAGGATCCAGATCCTGAACGGCTCGCAAGCCGGCAGGGTTTGGCGGGGGTCCCCGCGAAGTGCCCATATCGAGGTCAAAAAACATCGCTCGGGTGGGCCTGGCTGAGATTGGCTTCTCGTTTGCGCCAAGGAGACATTTCTTGGCCCGGGCTGATATGTTTTTCCAGGAACCCACTGAGGTCCCCCCCAGGAGCGCAATAAACAGTTGAGCTACTCCTGGGGTCTTTAGTTTGACGGTTTCTGGGAGTGATCAAAGTCAGAAAATGGGGTTGGTTCCCTTTAACCTACCACTTATCATGGTACAATAATGAGGCCAGTACTCTGCACTTTTTGACCGTCCCTGTGACATTGGTTCGACCGGGGCCACTTGGCCCACTCGCTTTGAACATGCAGCTTGCCAGGATGGCCAAGTGTATCATGGACACCGCGTGTGACAAAGTCATTAGCAAGGCAAGAAACAGGATAATATGGGTTTGTCTCAAAATAGGGGGACCCCCAATGATAGGTGGTTTCCTTTTGGTTTCCCATTCAAACCACCAAGAAGGGCGGGTATCCTCCGCGTGGCCTCGACGCCAAACGCACCGCCAAGTCACTCCCCTTGTTTGCACCCCAGAGTTGGCAGGCTGAGCAATGTCTCTGGTATCCCTCCCACCCCTGGCTGTGGTTATGAGCATCCGCGGCCTCGAATTGGGGGAGGAGTCTATCCTGAGTCTTGAGAGACATGAAAGCTCAGCAACCCTCTCTTGCAGACATGGTTCAGGTCTTAAGCTGTGGATGCTCTTTCCGGTTGCTTTCATAGATTTCTCTCGGTCTACGAGAGAAGAACATGTCCAGCCGCAATGGCTGGAACTTTTTAGCGGTATCGGCTGCTTCAAGGACTTTGGTCGATCGACAGCTGCTTCAAGTCATGAAACCATCGCCTACTTTTCACAGGGATTGGTTCGCTGAAACCTCAGCGAACCCAGGAATTTTTCCATCGGTCCCCTTCTTTTTCGCAAGGAATGCCATGTGGCCCTGTGAGGCATCTGGTCGAAATGAGATCAGGGCCCTGGCGCGAGCCTGAGTCAGGATGCGATAAAAGGGGGTCTTGCGGATGTGCTGGTGCAGCTGTTCCGTCCATGTTTTGCCAAGTCTCAGCCCATGTTTTTTTAGCACATGTGCGGGAAAAACGGGGTTTCCTGTTCATGCTTCTGTGGCAAAGCACACGGGCTGAAGCCGCCAAGTCACCCTGGCCTTTCTCAACATGCAAGTCATATCCAGTGGTTTTCTTTTTGTTTTCTCTTTAAAACCACCAAAAAAGGGGTAACCTCAAAAACAGAGACACCCATATCTTAATTGGGGGTGCGCACACTGCAAGTCCTAGAAGGTGAAGCACCCAGGGTTTGGCAGCTTGGCCCTGTCGGTCATTGGCACGGAATGGCACGAGCAGCAAACGGAGCTGCCAGGAACCACCTGAATGCACCCTCTAGTTTATCTTCTGCATTCACTGTGTATTCATGTTTTTTTTTTCCCCCCTGTCTGCCGCACTTCCCCCCCCTCCTTTTGTGCATGTGGCCGAGGCAGCTACAGTCGTCAAAGCGACAGTTGCGATGGCTGCGCACACACTCCAGCTGCAGGACACTCTTGCCATGACACGCCAACAAATTTCATTGTTTTCCCTTTGCCATCCCTTTAAAACCACCCAAAAAGGCTTCCATCTCCAAAAAAGACACCCAGTTGGCATGCACGGCTTTCAGCAAAGAGAAATTGGCCAGCAGTTCAACGCATTGTCTGCAGAAAAGCGGCGTCCTGACGAAGTGCACCTTAAGACTCTTGGCTGCCGTGGATGGCGGGTTCATCCAGCCTGCTGCATCTGAGGATGTGCTTTTATTGGCGCACTTCGCAGACTAGGCCATCCTTGACTTGAACAGTTTGAGCATGTTGGCGCTTGTGCGTTTGGGTCTACGTTTGAAAGCAAATCAAAGTCTGACCACTGAGCATGACCGCTCAACTAGACTCAACTAGCGACAAAAAAGGCCCAATCCGATTGACAGCGTTTCTTCTTTTCCAGGGATTTTGCATGCAGACAAGTGGCCGGATGTGGGAATTGGGGGCACGGGCCGTTGAGAACATCGCCGTCTGTCCGCCGTCTGTCCGCAGCTGTGCAGCCAAAAGCAGTGCCATGGGCGGACCATGGCGCCCATAGGGGCCCAGCCTCAAAAGAAGGCGCCCTTGGGCTTCGGAAGTTGACGTTGGTGGCTCCAAGCCATCCGATTCCTTAGCCTTTGGCCTTTTAGCTTTTTAGTGTTTAGTGGTAGTTTCTATTTAAGCCACCAAAAGTCAAACTTTTAGCGGGGGATCTGAGGGCCGCCCAGTTGAGAATAGGTTTTTGGACAACAGTTCAGGATGGCAACAAACAGTGTGGAATACAAAACATGAAGAACACACCCTCGTTTTTAGATTTGGCATGCTAAACCAGTGGGCAGATGGCTCCAATTGCACCTAGTTTGGAATGCGGCAGATTCACAGAGTCAGCCAGCTGTTTGCCCCGGCTCACTGCAACATCTGGGCGCTGCCCCGGGTTGTTGGGTGTTCTGGTCTGCGATTTGGGCATGCAGGTGAGCGCCACGGTTCGCCTTGCCGGTTCAAAAAGGGGTTTGCTTTGACAACTTAAATGCAGCCAGAAGGACCTTCTGACGCGATCCGTCTTTCAGGTCCTGTTGCAAATGGATGCCGGTCACGTCTTTGCCCAGGAATTGCTGAGGTCTTTCCGAAGCTTTGGCTTCTCGAGAACTTTTTTCTCACGGCTGGTGTCAGTCAGAAATCATTGGCAGGTCATGGGCCACTCAGAATCCCTTTTCCCTTCCCAAGAATATTTGGCAGTGGTTGTCCAAACCGTTTTGGATCCCATTTTGGTTGGGATTGGTGAATTCACCACCCATTTCAGGCTTCCTATTTTAGTGGTTGGATTGGTTGATGTTCACTGGGGGTACCGGATTTTGACCCATGACCATCTCAAACGCAGAGCTATGAGAAGGAATGCATGTCACCTGCGGCGCATGTGGGAACCAGCGCAAGGTTGTGGGAGGAAAGCCAGGCGCTCGGCTTGTTGAACCACCGAAAATGTTGGTCCTACGAAGGGCGCCAGAGCTGGATGCATTCTGATTCGGTCAAGTTGTCAAGCTCAGGAGACATCTCATACCAAAACTGGTCTGGGTGAAGAGGAGTGCTCTCAGTGCAACTTGCCTCACCCGGCATTTGGGTCAAGATTCGTACCAGGATATGGCCCGCAGGTCTTAGTCCAAGTTTCCATGGGCGAGGCATTTGGGGGTCCACTCTTTGACGTCACGGCCATGTGCCCCGCTTGAGTTGAATCCCATGCCGGCGGCCTCAGGTCGAATCGTGAGGCAGGGGCAAGCCGCAAGCAAGCCGCAAGCGGAAGCGCGCTTCGAGCGCGCGCGGTTCGTGGGATGGAGATGCTCAGGGCCTCAAGTTGAAGTTCTTTGAAGTTCTGGACAAAGATGGAGATGGCTTCCTCAAGAAGGCGAAAGGGCAGATCGGGTCCAAGCTCAAAAAAGACACCCAACTGGTAGGAAGGGTGGGGATGGCGGCGCTCGGCGCAAGCGCCAGGGCGAGATGCGCGCGCTGGCCAAGTTGGTGGGCTTTCAGGGCGACAGCGCCGAGTGGTTAGAGGCCCCTGGCAACGGGGGGGGGGGCTGGCGGAACGACGCCTTCGCCGGCTTCTCTGCTCTTGGCTGGTTTCTTTCCGCGTTCATTTGGAAGGAATTCTTTGGCCTGGCTTGGCCAAGTCTGGAATGAATTGATCGTCAGGAAGGGCACCGGAGATCATCCGTGAGTCAGTTGTGAGATGGAAGTTTTGTTGCATCTGGAGCCACCAATTGCGCCCTTTTCCAAGCAACTTGAGGGTGTGTCTTTTTTTGAGGGTACCCTTTCGGTGGTTTTAAAGGAAGCCAAAGGCAAACCCCCCCATTTTGGGAGACCCCCTAGAAAAGGACACATCCTTGAAGTCTTCGCAGGAGTACTCCAAGCTTTGCAAGGAAGTCGGAGCGACTGGGCAAAAGCTTGGGTTTCGACAGAAGGGCTTGAGTGTACCCAAGTTTAACTTTGGCTTCACTCGCAAGTGCCCAAATGGCGGCTCCAGGTTGCCGATTCAGGGTGGTCCCTACACTGAAGGCCGAAAATCGCTTCATCCAGGCTAGGCTGTTTTATTTGTCCGGCATGCTGTCAAGTGTCTGGGCAACTTCGCATGAAGGTAGGCGCTTGTGTTACCATTGATCGGCCTCTCTGGCAAGCCATGGTATGGGCCAAAAGATTAAACCAGGGACCGCAGGTTTGAGTGATTTCAACCAGGGTTCCGCTGGTTTAACCTGCTGGTTTTTAGCTCACCACTTAACTGACCGGCTGTGGTTCGCCATTCTCCAGGGCAACCCACTTCGAGCGAGCGAGACACGGCACGGCACACAGCATCGGCGCGAGCATCCGAGGCGACGCCTCAGAAGGGAATCCCCAAGGCGGGGTTCAACGGAAGGGGCTCGTTCTTGAGATGGGGTGTCCCACCCCCCCAGAAAAACCGTGAGGTCCTTTTTAGGCCCCCAACAACAATACAACAAAGCAGTGAAGGTTTTTTTGTTTTTTTGCGGGGTTTTCCGAAAGCCATCCAAAAAGGGTAGCCTCAGAATAAGACGCACCCAGGTCTTTCTCGCTCAGCAAAAGGACACAGTTGAAGCACGGTGGCTTTTTGGCCTCGCAAGCGACAGCTTTGCACGCTTGGGAGGCAACGGTGCTGACTCTGTTGGATGACACCTCTGAGAGTGGCTGTTTCTGCACCGACAAGGCGGGCTGTGGGTGATATGAGAATCTTTTTTCACTAAGGCAGGCCTGAAGATGGAACCAGACGATGATTTACTGTTGACTTTTCTCATTCATCCAGAATAATGCTTCTAAGGCCTATGCATGTTTCCATTGGAATCAGTCGCATCTTCAATCGCAAGCTGGGATGCTTTTGTTGCAGCTTAAGCTGGCGCTTCGGGCACCCAAAAGAGAAGCTGGGGCATACAGCTCGCAGGAGCTGGAGCTGTTGCTGGACACTCTAAAGAAACCGGTGGTCGAGCCGAGTCATGGTGAGCAAGGCAGGGCTGAATCCTCGAACATCCTTCCACGAGGATGAAATGAGAGAGGACTTTGGCGGCTTCGAACTCGGAGCGGGTCCAGGAGTTGCTAGAACGCAAAAGGTGGACATGAGAAAACGGGTCTGCCTGGCATGAAGCTAGTTCCGGACAAGCGACCTCTATGAGCATGTGATGAAATCCCGCAAATTGATGCCGTGCTATGGAGCGGCCAACAATCGCAGAGGGCCAAGAGCCCTCCAACATACCTTTTCGAGCATACCCCCCGGACCCCAAACGAAAACAATGCTCATGGGAGGATTGGGGTCTGAAAAAAACACACGGTATTTTGGTGGCTCCCAGCCAGCTTTTTAGCCTTTTTTTAGTGTTCTGTGGTGGTTTCCATTTAGCCCACTAAAGGCTAAACTTTGAGCAGGGGATCTGAAAACGGGCAGCCCAGGTATGTTGGAAAGCTTGCCCAAAGAGAGATCCCCCTTATCTCTTCAACCGGTCCGTGCGGTTGGGGCCGTCCCTCGCTGGGTCGGTAGAGCCGATGGCAGGCTTGGGCGAGCAGCAGGTCTTCTTCGCCGGCGCGCCCTTTGATCTGTCGGAGGCCGGCGGGAGGTTTTTTGAGTTGCTCAGTGGTGCCCTTCTTTTTTTCTTCTCTTCTTTTTTTAGGGGGAAGGGTTTCCAGTTGAAACTCAACCAACCAAAAGAGGATGGAGTTTTTACCCATCTTTTTCCTTTTTTTTGGGGGGGGAGGAGTTCCCCTTGAAAGTCAGCCAACCCAAAAAAGATGCCCCTTTTTTTCCCGTGGCCACTGGGCATCTGAGTTTTGGAGTTGCTAGAACGTTGAAGTCTGGTGCTTATGAGTGTGGCATTTTTTCGACAAAGTTGCTTCCCGGGGCCCCTGCCGGAGCTTTTCTTTTTTCTTCTTCTTCTTTTTCCGGGAAGCCTGACGGAAAGCCCAGAGCCGTTTTTTGGGCCTAGTTTGAGACAGGCCCATATCTGCTGTGTCTTAAGTTCCTGAGAACAAACCCATTTGGTGCTCGGAATTGCGAAGCGAATCAAAGGAATGGGCTAAGGAACAACAAGGGGCAGACGACGTGTTCCAGAAGGCTTCGAAAAAGAAACAGCTTCACTTTTTTGGAGGAGACATCACCATTGGTGCATTGGTGCGTGCCATACCTTCAAGAGTGCTCGAAGACCGTGCCAGGATGCCATCAGAAGGCTCTTCAAGCGTGCAGGTGATGCAGTGCTCTCAGAATCCCTGCAAGCTTGGTGAGCAAGTCACTTTGCCGATTCAGGTGGCCAACCTACGCCTCTTTCGACTGAAGGACCTTCTGCAAGGTCCATTTGCTCTTCGATTAAACTGCGCGCTGTGCAGGATGGGCGATCGCGTGGCATGGGCTACATTACTTATGCCTCAGCCAAGCAAGAGCTGCACTTAGGTGTGATTTTGGTGCACTGCCTGTGGCAATTCAGGTTCTATCACATTGGAAAGGGAGACTGACTCTGAATGACAAGCACTTCATGGCGCGTCGTAACTGAAAAGAGACGCTGATCAGCAGAACTCCTGACTGAGTGTGATAGATGAACAAATCCACTTATCCACTTGTGGTTGTGGAAAGGTTGACCTTTGAACGGGCTTGTAGACCAACTTTTTTTTTTTTTTTTTTTTTTTTTTTTTTTTTTTTTTTTTTTAAATAAACTCCTGCTCAATGCCAATTCTGCATTCTTTTCTGGCGAATCAAGGCCCGACGCGCGGTCAGGGATTTGCACAAT